TTATCAATTTTGTATTAAAGAATAATTTTACAAAGGAAAGAAACATATATGGACATATTTTGCATATAATTATATATAATTATACATGGAACTTTTTTCCCGGGCAGGGATTACATTTATCTTTATTTTCATGCAAATAAAATTAAATTATTAAAGTCAATAACAAACATTATATTAATTGTTCTTATTTATTGTCTTTATTATCGAAATATAAAATTCATTGATATACATACGATCACGATAAAAAAATATATGTATGCATACTTCTTGAGAAAAACATACAATTGCCAAATAATTAATAATAATATCGTATGTCGAACTACCTGTGCTTCCCAACACTATCCCGATAAGACCTGTATTCGTCCATTTTCTTCGCCCCGTTTTTCTCAGTTCCCGTTTCATCGACCACTTCTCTCCTTCCATTAATCATTTCCTCGCGCTGCGATCGAATGGTCGAGCTTGAAATGTCCTCGAAGGTATCGTTTGCATATCCGCTTTCAATCGTCAGACCTCTCGAACCGCTTAAAACTGTTACAGAAGCGTTCTCGTCGGTTAGACGTTTAGACCCGACGAAGTAGTCTTTAATTTTTGTCGCGAGGCTTTCCTCGGCGCGGGAAAGTTCCGAAATAATTTCGCTGCCGCTCTCCGTCGTGCTGATCGACTCCTCGACAACGCTATCGACGTCGCGCGACGATCCCGAATCGTTCGAGTCTGCATGTCGGATTTTGGATTTCACTTCCTTTGGCATTTCCGCACTCGCTTTGTTCTCGACCGAACGCTTTTTCAAGTTGAAGCGCACCCTGGAGTCCTCGTTCTTCGAGTTTCCAGACAATCTCAGCCGCTTCGCGATCGACCAGGATTGAGTAGTGACTGTAGTTAAAAAGTTAAAAGTTAAATAGTTAATAACTTTTAACTTAAGGGGGAACATCACTGTGACGAATTCAAAAAAAATTTTTTTTGCATTTTTGTAATGTTTGAGGTCTAAAAATATGTCCCTAAAATATTATGTTGAACTCACAAGGATAACTATAGTAAATATGTAATAAAATAGCACGTGTTCAGATATATAGTACGTCCGGCCGCGTAAAACTTTAAACGCGTTTTTCTCGAAACCACGTTTTTGTAGCTGGGCGCTCGCATATCTCGGCCAATTTTTATCCAAATAACTTGATTTTTGAACACAACAAAATTGTCTTCTGTTAAGCGTATGATTTTTTCAATCGAATTTTTGGAAAAATAATTTAAAAAAGTAATAATTTTTTTTGTAAAATAGCGAACTATTTTTTTAAAAGAGTGTCATTTTGTTAAAAATTTTTTTTTTTTTAAATCCGTACGCTTAACTGAAACTACACTTACATACTTTAAAATGAAAAAAGAATTTTTGATTTTATCCCGTTCAGACGCATCACGGGCGCCCACGCACCCATGTTTTTCCAATAGAGGTTTACGTCATCGAAGACGGAGGCCAGATATTAACGTTAGTTTATGATTTTTTTTTATAAAATCTTAAATATATGTACTTTTAATATATAAAAATAAGAATTCATACAACTTATTAATTATCGCAAAAAAAATTCACGAAAATAGCCTTTTTTTCGTTACAGTGGTGTTCCCCCTTAATTTAGTTAATTTTGAACGATTTAACTATTAACATCAACTAGTTATTTTTAAACATATATAAACTTAACCTATTAACTTTTTTCTAAGTTAAAAATTTATCTATTTAAAAGAAAAAACATTTTCGTATAAAAAAAATATTTCATTGTTATTTCATGTAAACTTAATTTACAAATAAGATATTAAATTTATTTGATTATTTATATTGTAATTTTTTTTATTTATAGAAATTTTATTTAAAAAAATGACGACATTCTAATTTAATATAAATGATGTTTTTTAAAATTAACTTTTAATTTAAGGCCTTATGGCGATGCTGGAAGGTCGAAAAAATTTGCACGAGGTCGATAAAACAGATTCTTCGTTGTCAGTGGTATCTCTAAATGAATTTCATTTTGTCTCTTGTCCTTTTGTCTCACTCAAACACGTGCAATGTCCTTATCTAACTTATTGAAGTGCCATCTGTTGCAAAATCCAGCACTTACTGCTAGACGCAATTTTTGCTGTCTTTGCCTTAGCTAAACGTGCAAATTAC